TTCCATGGTCAGGAAGATGCAGTTCTCTGCTGGGAGTCTGGATCTCTGGAGCCTCCCAAGACCTCTACTTGTGGGGCAGGAAAGCCAACCCTGCACAGGTGTCACACACTCAGCTGCCCACAAATATGGCTTTCCCAGGGTTAGTCCCTGAGTGTGCTCATGTCCTCCTCACTGAGAATCAGCCCTCCTGTTCAGATTCCCAACCCTTTCAGACTAAATGGGACAGTGAGTTGCACTTTTCTCTGACTTTAGCCCCCTGAGTAAAGTATTTTCTATGCCTGTTTCACTAATTGTTCTAGGTGCAATCTGGGCCACACTATAGGTGCTTTTCTGGACCTTATGGTGATATTGTTAGGATCTCCTGGGCTCTGGCAGCAGCAAGCTGAAGCATGGCCTCCACAGAATGATTGCCACCTCAGCTGTCTGCTTGCCAGTTGAGAAACACAGAGCTCTTTTCAAATACCCATTCACCTTGCAAACCTCTGGATCAGCTGAATACATAAGCTTTTCTGATCTTCATATTTTTCTGTGCCAAATGTGCTTTTCTCTGTGTTTTTGTCATCCCTCTTCTCTGTGGTGAACTAGCGCCACCTACACAACCAGCTTAGTTTCAATGTATGTCTCCTACTATGTTTAATGCACTTGAATTTCTAAGCCTCTAAGAGCCTCCGACTGTCCATTGAATTTCAGTGAATTTCCTCTTTCACCCACCTCACCTGACAAGCAGTACTCCTACTGCTTGAATCCCAAACCACAGAGCAAGTGGAAATGCAGACAGCCTCTAATACACCATGTTGAATGTCTCTTCTTTGGCCATTTTTATGTTGGGTTATTTAGTTTGTTATTGGGATGTTTGAATTCCTTGTATATTTTGGATAGTCACCCCTTGTCTGAAGTATGATTTGTAAATACTCTCCCAATGTGTGAGTTGTCTCTTCACCCTCGTTTTCCATGCTCTGAAAAAGAATTTTAGTTGAAAGCTAGCCAATTGTTCTATTTTTGCTCTGGTGGCCTGTGCTTTGAGGATCATAGATGAGAAAGTTCTGTCCTGACCCATGTCAGGGACTTTGCTCCTGTGTTTTCTTCTGTCAATTTCATAGTTTCAAGTAGAACTTTTTTTGGAAGGTTTGTTGCTCTTCTGCTCAGGCTGGTCTTGAACTCATGTGCTCGTCTTGCATCAGTCTCTCGGGTAACTGGAACTATGGGCTAGCTCTATCACCCACTGCTTCAGGTCTTACATTTAAATCTTCAATGCATTTTGAGTTTTATATTTATTTGAGTCTTATATAAGGGCTGACATAAGGGTCTATTCCCATTCTTATGTTTGTGAATATCTTACTTTCTCAACAGTTTTTTTTTTGAGATACCCATCTCCCATATTGTATACTCGGCACCTTTGTCAAAAATCCATGCACTATACATGTGTGAGTTTATTTCTGAGTTTTCTTCTATTGGTCATAGCATTTGTTTTTATGCTGATACCATGCTGTTTTATTTACAGTAGTTTTGTAATCTATGCTGAAATCTGACATTGTCCTTTTTGGTCTATATTGCATTGTTTTTTGCGGGGGTCTCTTTTAGTCAGCTATTTTTTTGCTACTGTGAACAAAAGACCTGCAGAACAATTTTATAAGAGGAAAGATTTATTTTGAGCTCTTGGTTTCAGAGGTCTCCTCCATAGATCGCTGGCTCCATTCCACAGGGCCCGAGGAAAGGCAGGATATCATGGCAGCTGACTGAGGTAAAGGAAAGCAGCTCACGACACGGTACCAGGGAGCAGAGAGTGTGAGTTCCACCCAACAAGGACAAATGTTCCCAATGACCCACCTCCACCAGTGGCACTCTACCTGCCTCAGTTACCACCCTGTTAACACCTTCTGGGAATTGATACACTGATTATGTTCAGACTCTCATAACCCAATCATCTCACCTCTAAACTTTGTTGCATTATCTCACATATGAGCTTTGGGAGTCACCTCCTATCTAAACCATAACTGGGTCTTTTATGGTTCCCTGTGAATTTTAGAAAAAATTTTCCCATTTCTATGTAGAATGAAATTAGAATTTTGAGAAACCTAACTGTTTTTGCTCTTTCATTTTCTTTTTTTCATTTTTGTGGTGCTGGGATTAAACCCATGACCTCAAGCATGCCAGGCAAGTGCTCTGCCACTGAGCTGCACTCTCCGCCTGATGACCCTAAGTTTCTGGTGGAGCCTTCTGTCCTTGGATCTTCTCTTCTTCCCCACTGCTCCGAGTCCCCTGAAAATCTTGGTGCTGACATTTGTCTTAAGCACAGTGCAGGGCACCTTGACCTCCCTGCTCTTCTCAGCCCTGCATCCTCTTTCTCCCTATAGTGTAGGCATCTCCTTCTTGATGGACCTTTGCCTGCTTTCATCTAAACCCTCACCCTTTCAAGGCCTCCATACTCCACCCTACTCTCTTTCCCTGGTCCCTCTGCATCTCTAGACTGTGGGACCTTTTCCTGCACACACTGCCTGCCTAGCTACCCTGAGCCCCCACCAAACTTCCATCTGTCACAAGCCCCCTCTGGTGGGAACTTTGCAATCACTACAGCCACTCTCATCTGCCTTCATCCAAAACAACACCCCTGTCCTCACCCTAACCCAAGTTCTCCTAGGGTCACCTGTATGCCATGTTCACCCTGCATACTCCAGGTCATTCCTTGCCCAGACCACCAATCTCTTTGCCCTTCTTATCTCCCCTTCCCATCCTACCAGAAGAAGGCTCTTGGTCCACCTACCTCTTGACCTTCCCCCTTCTTCTGGTTCCTTTACCTCAGAGGACTTTGGCTCCATTCACTATGTATCCAAAATCTGTGTTTTGCAACTCAGTTGTTCCTGCTGTTCCCTTACTCTGTCCTCTCCCAGCACCAGCTTCCTCCTGGAGTGTTTTCATTTGGTTATTCATTTCTTTGTTCTGGTCATTGGACCCAAGGCCTCAACCATGCCTTCCCCCACTGAGCAACCCCTCAACCACCCATAATGGTTTTCTAACCTGGTGCTTTTTTGGGGTGTGACCAGCTCCCACCACTCCCTCCCACTCTGAAAGGCCTCCCCCAGGTTGTGCAACTTGTCCACCTGCCTTGATTCTCTCTTTTCAGGCCTACACCTCTTTCTTCTTTCTGATTCTACATTAATCTGTAGTACACTGCCCTGATTTCTGTTTGGTGTTTAACTGTGGTAAAATAGACATAATGTACAGTTTAAAACTTGAACCATTTTAAGTGTGCAATTCAGTGGCATTTAGTGTGTTCACATTTTTGTGGAAACTGAAACTTTGTACCCATTAAACAGTAAGCATCCATCCTCCCCACCCCAGTCCCTATCATCTTTCTGCAGCATTCTACATTCTGTCTCTATGATTTTGGCTCTCTAAGTACCTCATACAAGTGCAATCATTCAGAGTTTGTCCTTTCATGACTGTCTTCTTCACTTAGCATAATGTCCTCATGATCATCCGTGGTGTAGCAATTGTCAGAATGTCCTTTGTTTTTAATGCTGAATAATATCAATTTTGCAAAAAAGCCATATTTTGATTAGATGCTCCTCCGTCGATAGATACTGGGGTTACTTCTATCTTTTGGCTTTTGGAAACAATGCTGCTATATATTTGCACCTACAAATATCTCTGCACTTACCTGCCTTCACTACTTTTGTGTTTATATTCAGAAATAGAATTACTGGATCATTTAGAAAGTATCCTTTGAGCATTTGGAGGAACCACCATCCAATTTTCATAACAGCTGCTCCATTGTATATATAGGAAGCAGTGCACCCGTGCTGCAGTTTTCTATGTACTTAGGAACTTGTTTGTTCTGAATTCTTTTTTTCTAAACAGTAGCCATCCTCATGGGTCCAAAGAGGAATCTTATTGTGCTTTTATTTTCATTTCACTAATGACTGCTAATGTTGAGCATCTCTTCATGTGCTCATTGGCTATTTGTATAACTCCTTAGGTAACTGGCCTTTGCCAGTTCTGAATAGGTTGAAAGATTTTATATGGTTGAGTTGTTGAGGTTGTTTTTTGTTTGCTTGTATGTGGAGCTGGGAACAATCTCAGACATTGCACATGGCTAGTCAAGTGCCCCATAACTGAGCTAATCTAAGCTCGGGAGTTCTTCATATGTTCTGAATGTTTACCTCTTATTAGATATGTGACTTGCAAATATCTTTTCCCATCCTGCAGGTCATCATTTCTGTGGATATCCTTTGCTATATTGAAGTTTTTATGATTTTAATTTGGATGAGTCCAATTTATTAATTATTTTTCTATAGTGTCTGTGATTTTTGTGTCATATCACTGAAAATGTGGTCAAATCCTTTGTTGTGAAGATTATTGCAAACACATTTTCCATTATGTGTGTGTATGTGTGTGTATATGAATATATATATGAAATTATATATATATAATGTATATAATTTCATATATATATATATGAAATGTATGAAATGTATGAAATATATATGAAATGTATGTGTGTGTGTGTATATATATATATGTGTATGTATATATATGAAAGTGAGAGTTGAACCCAGGATCTCTCACATGCCAGTAAGCGATCTACCTCTGAGCTACCCCCAGGACTTTTCAATATCTTATTTTGAGACAAGGTCTCACTAAGTTGCCAGTTTGGCCTGAAACTAGCATTCATCTGCCTCAGTTTCCTGAGTGGCTAGGATTATAGGCATGTATCACCACGTCCAGCTGCCAATGTGTTTTCTTCTAAGACTATTCGGTTTTATTGTTTACTTTTCGTTTTGAGTTTGTGTGTGTGTGTGTGTGTGTGTGTGTGTGTGTGTGTGTGTACACACACACACTCTTAAGTATTGAACCCAGGCACTTGCACATTGTAGGCAAGCACTCTATCATTGAGCTACATCCCCAGTTCTGAGTAAATATCTGTATGTGAGTAAGTAAATTGTCCAACTTTGTTGTTTGCTTTTGGAAATCCATTTTTTCTAGCACCATCTATTGAAAAGATGTATCAGGTCTTTGGAAACTTCGACCTGTGGAGTCCCAGGAGATGCTAGCAGGATCTCTCAATCTGGAGCTTCAAGATGCTGATTAGGACCCAGCCCACAGCTTTACATTCCTTTAGGGTACAACAGCACTCAACACTTTTGGGGCTACAACCCTCCCTCCCACTGCCATTCCTGCCTGCCCCCC